TCTCTGAAGTATTTCATTTGTTTTTATATTTTGTACCAATAAATGTTGTTTTCCAGAACATATTCCATTTAAAATATTCACAATTTGCTTATCCATGGCTGGCACAATTTATATGGTATTTTTTTGTTCAGCTTATCCGCAATTATATGCAGGTACTTTAAAAAGTATAAGTGTAACTCCTTGCAGATAAGCTTTTCTGTAGACAAGTCAAACCCATTTTGGGGTAGTAAAATTCTTGGCTTAACTTTGAGTATATGTATAGTATTTATATAACTTTACTATATTTATTAACTATTCTTTAGTAAGTCTATTCTGAATTTAATACATAAGGTATGTCTGTCTTACTAAAACTATAAGGAAAGTAAGAGTTGAGCCTTTTTGAAATACGGTACATTTTTTTTAACCAGCCAGATGATCTGCTTTGCATATAATGCTAACCCAAAATGTGTTAAGTTTACTCATTCCATTGTACTCCTAAAGAAAAAAATTGTTTGGCTTAATGTGATGGATGAATCCAGTCAGTGTTTAAACCCTTCCAGGTAATAATTAACTTTGAGCTTGAATTAATTAATCCTTAAAGAGCAAATTTCTAAACCAAGGGCAGATTTTTAGGTATTTTTGCCCGGGGTTTTTGCAGACAGGGATCAAAAGAGTAAAGATGGTGGTTGTGACTGTACCATCAAACCCTCCCTTTTATTATGTGCACCATCTTGATTTTTGTGAGCCTGTCCTGGCAGATGCCCCTGTCCTTATAATACACCTTGCATTCTGCTGACCAATTCAGCATCCTCGGATTCAGCCCATCATCAGATAAAGTCCGGAGCGTTATGTAGATGATACTAGGCTCAATATTTGTAAAGAAGTTAAGGAGGCAACTCCACTACAGTGAGAGAGGTATTCAAGGTGGTTGTTATCCATTACATTATTTTCTCAACTCTTGCAGATTGAACTGTAATAAGCATTACATGTGTTTTCTTGCTATTGGCTGGTGGTCCCCTCCCTCCATTCAGATTCAACAGAAATTTACTGGCAGGAAATAATTGCAGGTGCTATAAAAGAAATACAGGAGAGAATGAAGTTGTTGCTGTCTGCTCCTTTCAAAAGCAGCCACAGTCATGCAGATGAGCTTCCACATTCCCTCAAACTGCACTCCCAGACATCCAACTTTGTGTTCCAGCTGCTGGCTAATTGAACCGCCCTGAGTCCACCAGGAGAAGGGCGGGGTATAAATGTAATAAATAAATAAATAAATAAATAAAACCACATCCTGGTGTTTTCAAAGATGGGCTGACAACCAGAGGCAGCCTCTGGTCCAGTCTTTTTGAAGCTTATAAAAGCAAATGCTAAGACAGAGTGGGAAGAGGAGTTGTAGCAGGAGTTTGCTTCCAAATTTTATCCAGTGCTCTTTGTACATTCTGATTGTAAGTTCCTGCTGCTTAAAGAAGGGCTCCTTAACTCACCTTTTGCAGCATCCAGGCACTGACTGATTGGATTGGTCTTCAGCACGTTTGGGCACTGTGCACGCCTGCAAAAGAGACAGTTAATGCATGCACTTAGCCAGGATGCTCAGGGGCCTTGAGTGCTCAAGGGAATTAACAGGCAGTGTGGCCTGTATCATGTGTCAACTTAAGGAAATGGCATTGGAGCAAAATGAATGTCTTAACCTGTATATCCCTGAAAGCCTCTGAACAACCCAAAAGCTGGGCTGAATCTTCCCACGTACGGTGATGGTGCAAAATGATTAAGAGCAGAATGGCCTAACTTAAAAGTATCCATTTGCTTTTAAAAACTACCCCCCCAAAAAAAACCATGTTTAGAAATCTGGAAATTTGCCCCTGCCTACCCCAACAAAGTGATATCACATCTGTGGTCCTTGGATACCCCCAAAATTAAAAATGTAATTCTTGGCTGCAAGAAAGTGGCCCAGTTATAAAGGGGGGAAAGGCCCCCTTTGCAAAGCAGAAGGGGCAAAGGGGGGAAACTTCTCACCTTTTCTTAGTGAGCAGAACGGCCCTGCAGGACTTGCCATCCCAGGTGCAGTACGGATCTCTAGCAAGGCAGCAGTCGGCACAAGTTTTGCCGTAGAGTTCACAGCGATACATGGAGAGCTGCACCAGCCCTTTCGCAGTGCTCACGAGAAGTTCCTGCTGCTCAAAGGGACAGGGCAGAAATACGGCCATGCAACTTATTGTAACACCCTGGAGGCTGCAGCCTCCCCTCCCTCGAAACTCTGGGGCAAAAATGTTGGGGGGAGGGCCAGGAAAAGGCGATAGAGAAGATGCTTTTCTTAAGCTAATAGGAAATATGAAAAGGATTTATTTAAATGTTAATATTTAATATTAAGGATCTTTTAATATTGGCCTTTGAGAAATGAGTCAAAGGGGCAAGACTGTCCAAAGTAATTTTAGGGACTGGACAACACCCCTCCCCCAATACTTCATTTAATGGAGTTAAAAGTGATATTTAGTATATGTCTTATGCAGATAGTTACATTGATTACTCTTTGTTCATGCATGTAATCATTTCTCTTTCTGACAAGTTAAAAATTGTTACTTAAAACTCTCTGGCAGGACTCTGGGAGGTTGCTCTAAAGCAGTGGTGGCGAACCTATGGCATGGGTGCCAGAGGTGGCACTCGGAGCCCTCTCTGTGGGCACATGTGCTGTTGCCCCAGCCTTGCCTCCCCCTGCGACCACCTCCTCACCAGCAGCCCCCCTGGAGAGTCGCCCCCGAGCGTGGCCCATGCAGAGTAGCGCAGCCAAGGACATGGCAGCCAGGCAGCGTAGACAAGTCTTTGCCCTCACGTCCCATTGTGCACAGTTGATGCTGTGGAGCGTGGGCAGAACGCATGGCCACCATGGCGCTGCTGGGCTGCCTGGGTGATCTGTGGCAGGCCCTGGAGGCGGTGAGTGGCCCTGCAGGCAGGCGGTGTGGGGGCGGAGCAGGCGTGGAGCCAGGTTTTGGGCACTCGGTCTCTAAAAGGTTCGCCATCACTGCTCTAAAGGTTTGAGATATGGGAAGATGCCTTTGGGGTTCAGCTGTCCCCCTTTGCCTTGAAGAAAACAGCTTAGTGTATATGGAGATTCTCAGTCATCCAGGTCATAGTTATCCCAAAGACGCTTTTCCATGAGGCAACTGGACTTTCTTGTTTTTCTTTGAAGACTTTTCGCTTCTCATCCAAGAAGCTTCTTCAGCTTGGAAGCGAAACATCTTCGAAGAAAAACAAGGAAAGTCCAGTTGCCTCGTGGAAAAGCCTCTTTGGGAGAGCTTACAATTAGTATAACAAATGCTGCCTTACCCGCTTTAGGGAAAATTGCATGTCTAGGATAGCTGATGGCACCTGCAAGAAACAGAAAACAGCAGCATTTTGCAATGATACTCTAAATTCCATTTTGAATTGGATGCCCGCATCCCCGGGTTCCACACAAACTTTAGACTGGTGCCTGAGCCTAGGCATGCCACATACGTGCTTCACAATCATGACGACAACCAGAGGGTAGAAAGAGTTAAGGTTTTCTCCAGACTTCTCTGCTGCCATCTAGTGGTCGTCTGGATTTTTGCAGGGCTATAAATTAAAATTTTCTGTTCCTGGAAACCTTCTGTGATAGACAGGGACAACCTGGGCCATTAATCAAGTGACATCATTTCCTGATCTGATGTTGCTTTCACACTCTTGGCCAGCACTGCAACAATGTCCACAATGTCCGTGCATGCAGGGCTACCAGATTTGGGTGGAGCAGCAGATGACATTAAAGAGATGTAGAAAAGTGGCAAACAAAAATCAGTCTCTACAGGGAAACTGATCCTCGTTAGCAATAGTCAAGAAAAAAACTTCACCCCAGATATCTTGAGTCCAGCTAACAAATCAGACATTATTTAGTTCCTCCAAACCCTTAAGAGAATGAAAATTAGATATAGCCTAATTTTCATTTATTATTCCTTCATAAAGGTAGGATTACATAAGAGAAGCATTTATGGGAAGCAAAACCTGATTTCTACTTATTCAGTAGAATGGGTCAGTCTCTCTAATGTTATAGGGACACTGTTCTAGAGTTTTTTTAAAAAAAACTGGGACGGAAGGTTTGTCACTTTTTTTTTACAGATAGTAAATCCTAATTGACCCTATCCAGGTCCTGTAGTTCTTGTTGTCCCAAAAGATTGTTTATTCTTGGTTTACAATCTTTTACATCCTCCCCTTTTGAGTTTTAACACCACAGCCCCGTGATATGGAACAGCTTATATATCAAGAGACAGATAAGTGATAGGCTATATTATAGGAAACATTAGCTGGATTCATGATTTTCATTTTCACTCTCTGTATATGTAGACATGATACTTGATTGTTCTCATCAACGTCATGCTTGACTTCTTTAGATCTTGCCTTAACAAATAATTACTTTGACTTCTGGCTCATGGATTAAATTAATAGCACAAATCGATGCACCGGATCACAGGAAATTGAACCTTTCTAGACAACTCCAGCCCACAAAGGTTTTAAGAGTAACAGAGGTATTCTGATTACCTTTGAAACCTGGATCTCTTCCAAGCTGATCTCCTGAGACCCTCGGCCTTCTCGGTTGGAGATGCCCACCTTAAGTACTTTGCCCTCATCTGTGAGAAGCCAAACAAAAAAGTATGTGAAGAGGACTTTGGGTGGGAGTACCCCTGTGGCTGCATGGAATTATTACCAGGCAGAAGATTCAATATGAGAGCAAATCCATTTCTGGAAGAGTTAAAAAGAAATGGGCCAAAACGGATCTATTTTCCATATTCTTCTTCATTGTTTCAGGATCACCTAACATACTGAAGAAGCTCAAAAGATTGTGGCTGCAGGACTGCATCTATGGATAATCTTATCCACCAAGGTACTGGAGTTATCCTGATTTCTGAGGATGCCTTCTCTCAGATAGCTCTCTCTAGCTATGCAAGTGAGACTGTGAAGGATCAGGCCACTCCATGTGGATTATGTGTTTAGTTATCTCAGGGAGAGGTCCTTTCCTAACATGCATCATCTTTGCATGAGATTTATATAAAAAAGCTAATTTTAGGACAATTTACGGGCAAACTGAACATATTTTCATTCATCAAAGCATTTGAACTATGTGATGGGTTGTTTTCCAGAATATTTTCAATAAATAAAATAGCAACATCATTAATTTCATGCAATACACCTTCTTATGTTATGTAATTCATACAGGGACCATGAGACAATGAATGTATTTCAGAATGAGGGCCATTTTGTTACCCGTTCCATATATTTTCCTAGTCCTATCATAGCTTTTCTGAGAAAAAAATCCTCATCCAGCAAAATCATTATGCTATTTTCTTTGCTGTATTTTATGTTTTTTGGGAAGTATTCCTAACATCATTTTGTTAGGCGTAATGCAATGAATTGGTGCTTTCATATTTTTTTTGGTTGAAAAGGAAATTCTATTATTTCAACACTGTTTTATGTTTTTTAATATATTTTAAAGTGGCAGCTATCAATTGCTTACCACTAATTTATTGTTTTAGAGCAGGGGTTCTCAACCTTGGCAACTTTAAGACTTGTGGACTTCAACTCCCAGAATCCCTCAGCCAGCTTTGCTGGCTGAGGAATTCTGGGAGTTGAAGTCCACAAGTCTTAAAGTTGCCAAGGTTGAGGACCCCTGTTTTAGAGGCTCTGTAAATACTTCAATAGTCTGACTCAAAAGGGTCTCATTTAATTTCAATTATTTAACAAGGGAATTGTAACCAGGCCTCTGAAGCGAATAAATAGTATTGAAGTATATAAACAATCCCAACTGCTACCCTGAGCCAAGATAGATGTGATAAGTGATAAGCTTGTCAGTAAAGGAGAAGGAAAAGCAGCTATCACAGCAGAACTGCATTGCTTCTCTGAAACAATGATGGCAGAGTGGAATCCTTCTACAACTCCTACAAGAAAAAGGAGTGGGGAGAAGATGATTCCAGAGCAAAAAAATGAAATGAAATAAAATAATAAAATAAAAACCAGGCAACTTTTTTAATTTTAATTTTTTAATTAGTGGAGCTGGCAGCACCTGGAGAACAGGAGAACAGAAGAGAAAGAACTGGGGGAAATCACAAAATACAAAGATCCGAAAATAGAAGTAGAATGACTGCGGCAAAAAAAAAACAAACACCAACCATAGTACCAACAAAAATAGGTATGTGCAATCTCAAACTTCTGGAGCACCACTTCATAGCAATAACACTGTAGCATTTAGACTTATATACTGCTTTATAGTGTTTTACAGCCCTCCCTAAGTGGTTTACAGAGTCAGCATATTTTCCCCAACAATTTGGGTCCTCATTTTTCCAACCTCGAAATGATGGAAGGCTAAGTCAACCTTGAGCCAGTCAGGATCGAACTGCTGGCTGTCAGCAGAGTTAGCCTGCAATATTGCACTCTAACCACTGCACCATCACAGCTCTTTATAATGGTGTCTTAAACACCACTGTCGTTGATAAAATCACCCTCAGTCAATTGCAGAAGGCAGCATTACTTGGAACAGCTTATATCCTGCATCAACCTTTTTTATATATATAATATTTTATTAATTTTCTAATTTTACATTTAAGTATTTAAAAAGCAACATGGTGGCTGGGTTAATCAATAGTTCGATAACAAAATCTTTAGTACAAATCTCAAGTTACAACATCAAATATTTCCTCTCTTTTTCCTTTAACATTTACTGTCTCGTATTTAAGCTAATACAGTTCTTATCATATCAACTCAGTAAAAACATCATTATTACATTTATCAATACATTTTTAGCTTATACGTCTTAATTATTTTTTACATTTCAATCTTCAGAAACAATCCATATCCTGTTATTAATTTTTCCCCAATTTTTAGTTTCCCATCAATATTCCAATTTAACCTTTGATATTTATAATTTTCAGGTAACAAAGATTTCTCTTATCTCAATTCATAACAAAATCTAATATCCAAAATACACATTTTATCTATTTGAATATAATCTTGTTCTATTTCCTAAAAGTTATCTATTTCCCACCATATTAAATCATCTACTTAATAATACAATATCCCCTTTAATAAATCAAAACCATTATATATACCACCTGGGTTAATCAATAAATCAAATATATTCATAATATTTTTTTTCTTTTAGGTCTAATTTTTAAATATTAAACAGATAAAATCCTTATTTTCAACTAATTTCCAAATATTTTAAATCTAATGAACAGAATTCCCCTTATCTCAACTTCTCCCTTTAACCCTCTAATTAATAATATGAAATCCCCTCTAATAAATCAAAACCCCAATTTTCTTCAGCTTCATTCTGGCTTTCTTCCTTTGCCAACTAGGCTTCCATATCAGTGTTTTTAGATCGTCAAATAGATCTCCCTCTATTATTATATATGTTATTTGAAATGAAGGAGACCATTTAATTGCCATTTTTTTGGAAAGACTAGCCCATTTGTATTCATTAAGTTGTCTCCCTATTATTCCAATTCCCCATGATTGCCCTGCATCAACCTTTAACACCATCAGACAGCCACAACTGTCTATCCCAAACTTTTGGGAAGGACTCCATAGGTGGATAAAAATGCCAAATCCAGTCTAAGCACCTGACTGATTGCTCATATTGGCAAGACAATCAAATATGATGATGAGTATTATTATTATTATTATTATTGTTGTTGTTATTTTCCCTCCACAATACAAATGTAAAGGGGGGGAGCTGCTTCCATCATGAGTCTCCTCCCTCAAATTATCATCAACCAGTTGTTGCCCAATTTAGATAATGCCCCTGCATCTCAACACAAAGGCTCAGGTTCTACTCATCTTTATTTTTAACGTCTCATGCAATATTTGCTGTTGAAAGTGAATAATCCTAGAAAAACCATAGTGTTGCTGATTACATTACTCTCTGATTAAACAGAGAGACTTGTACACTTAACATTACAGTCCAGTTCTTTCTTTCCTTTCCTTTTTGAGTTGAATAAGTCAAATCACATTTCAAGCTGTGTCTTACAGTAAAATCAGAACATCCTTGCTTGAACTCCTCTACCTGTTCCAAGGAAGAGGACATCAACATGTCCAGCCTCTGTCTCCACTCTGTCCACCAACAGATGCCGGATGTTGAAAGGCACATTGACTCTGATCAGAACAGGCTTCCTGTGGAGTGGATAGATGGGGTCCCACATCAGATGATGAGTACGCATGAAGCTAATCACTTCATCAGGGAAGTCCTTGGTTGACTGCAGGAATGGGTCATATGTTTCACTGGGACACTGGCAGGAAGAACAGATATTGAAAAGGGACTGGTGCAAGAGGATTAACAGTCAACTCCATGACACATAGTCTTGTGATTTACGGTAGCTAAATCCACTAATATTAGAGTCCAGCCTAATTGCCTTTGTGGCATGCAGTTTTTCATAAATTGTCATCTGTGATAGCCTATGGCACAATCGTTTTTGTAGGATGTGACCACTTCTGCATTTTCTGAAGCCTCCCTACTTGGTGGCACTGCCTGGGACAAACTGCTTCACAACCATTTGTGGGACCCATGAGTGGATCCAGCACCCATATCAGAAATGAATCATGCAGGGAAAAAGAGGGCTTGAAGAGCCCTTGTTGCCCAGGTGGGAAGAGACAATAACCCATAGTAGTTTTAAGTCTGAACAGCAGCAGCTGTTTTGCCTAGTCAGTCTTTATGTGACAGAGAAAAAGTGACTAAAGCAAGTTTTCTGTACATACTGTTCCAGGACGAGGGTAAGGGATCCGTCCTTTATATTCAGCCCACTGATAATCGAAGCCTTCCTTGTGTGCAAAAGGTCCATTGAAGGCAGCCCGAATGGCTGCCAGGGAATAAACACACACTGCAGAACCACTAAAAATGCCACTGTGAAAGAAAAAAATAATGTAGGGAGATGGATAGTATTGATACATAAATCACTCCAAGAGATATTTCTTTGTACAACTCTGCAAAACCATGCCTTTGAAAGATTTCTACCTTAGAAAATATTTTTTAACATATTTAAAGGTCGTTAAGCTGGAAGATGAAGGCCTGAGGTGGCCTTAGAGAAGATGACCTTCAGAAAGCCATTTTATTTCAAAAGCATTCTCACTGTTCTCTCATCTTTAACAGGAGGCTTTTGTCTTCACCAATTTCCTTCTAGGTCATTCCTTAACTCGGTTAAAGCTGAAGATTATGGGAGCTGAGATTCAACACATGGGGATCACTGCTTTAGTTCTTCCCAGCAGTTGAAAACTGCATGAAATCCATTCCTCAGCTTCATCCTGCCAGGTAGGATATGGCGACAGGCACAATTTCTGCAGGAACTTGAAAGACCTACTGCAGAATCCTATTTCAGTGTATCAGCTCAAAGCCATTCGGATGGATTAGTGTGCATGCCTTCTATAACTGAAGTAACAGAATAACAGAGTTGGAAGGGACCTTGTAGATCTTCTAGTCCAACCCCCAGCTAAAGCAGGAAGCCTTATACTATTGGCAGTGGTGGCGAACCTATGGCACGGGTGCCAGAGGCGCCACTCGGAGCCTTCTCTTGGGCACACATACTGTTGCCCCAGCCTTGCCTCCCCCCATGACCCCCTCCTCACCAGCAGCCCCCTGGAGGAGAGTTGCTGAGCATGGCCCACGCGGATCAGTGCAGCCAAGGACATGGCAGCCAGACAGCGTAGACAAGACTCTGCCCTCACGCCCCATTGGGCACAGTTGATGCTGCGGGGCGCGGGCAGAGGGCGTGGCCGCCATGGTGCTGCTGGGTGATCTGCGGCGGGCCCTGGAGGCAGTGAGTGGCCCTGCGGGCAGGCGGGGTGGGGGCAAAGCGGGAGTGGGGCAGGGGATGGAGCGGGGGCAGGGCCAGTTTTTGGGCACTCGGTCTTTAAAAGGTTCGCCATCACTGCTATTGGTATAATAAGTACTATCCTCATTCCTGCTGATCCATGGGCACAAGCAATTCTTTTTCTTTTGTCATATTCATTGTACATGTTTTCCACTTACCTGGAAACCGTGAAGAGGCCATAAACCAGAGGGTTCTGTATGTTACGGGTTTCAAGGAGGAAGACGTCTTCTAGAATACAGCAGGACACACCCAACTCAGGGAAGAGCTTTGAATGATTCCCTTACAACCTTATGATGACAGATTCTATTCTAGAAATGGCAGCTCTTAATAGGCAAGCAACCTTACCTAGTTGATCAAAATGTGTTTCGGTGCCCTGGAGACCTGGTATAGAGCAAATCAGCCGTGCTTTAAGAAAAGTGCTCCAGCGATTGATAAGGCTATGCTTCCCACCAATATCATTCTGCCAAACAGAAGCAGGAATAGGTCAAGCATAATTTTCATGTCCACCCACAACTGCTCTCCAGTACTCTAAGTCAGTGTTTCTCAACCTTGACAATTTTAAGGCATGTGGACTTCAACTCCCAGAATTCCACAGCCAGCAATGCTGGCTGTGGAATTCTGGGAGTTGAAGTCCACATGCCTTAAAATTGTCAAGGTTGAGAAACACTGCAAGTGATTACTTTGAATACATCCATTGCATCATGTTTACAATTTAAGGGGTCTTTCTTAAAACACAAGGTGGTGAATGCTGTGCAATCATTAAGAGAGAGGCAGATACTTAGAGCTACTGTACTTTCACTGTTTTTCCTAGAGAAATGATGCAGAGTTAAATTAAAGGAATTTGAACTTGTTTCCAGTGCATGTTTTATCCAGGTGTTTTAAATCTGTAGCATTCACCATATGGATAGGATCCATCCTCGGCTGAAGTCCCTTAAAGGACGTGAGCTTTTGGCAAATACTTGTTTCTTGAACATAGGTATTTGCAAGAAAGAAGCCACAAGAATCAAGAGCTTGATCGTGTAGGCATTTGGCTTTCATGGAAACCATCAGACATGCAATTGTATGCAAAAAAGCTTTTCCCTGATTGACAGTCACACTCAACTGCCTTCTAAAGGTAGTCATCATTGGAGTGATGTCATGACTTATGCACTCTAGATTTCAGA